GTTTTCAGTGTTGAGGAAAGATACAAATGCATGGCGATGAACGTGTGCGTCGTACTTTAGACAATGTCAGCATTACAACAACAAATAAACTCCATTTCATCCGTTGCTCCAATCTTGTAATGAGTTCACCGAAGACGGCTCATTGAACAGACAACGGGGGGGAGACGGCGGCATGAAGGTTGTGTGTAACCTGAGTTGACCCACAGGACGCAGCTGGTCCGTTGAAAGGGCTCAATGAGAACGAGGAGCCGCGTCTGCTCGGTTCAGCTGCTACCAAATGTCTTTAATAACGGAGCGCGCGAGGAAGCACGGCGAGTTTAATACCTGTGGAATCCATCACTTGGTTAATATTAAGCAGAAGACCCTCCGAATTGAGGCTTTATTCGCAAGGGATGTTCTTTGGAAAAAAATATCGCCTCTTTTGACAAATTTCACGTGAAGTTAATGGTGTCACGGTTGGAATAAATGGTTTAAAGCCAACGTCTTAATAAACTGTCTCAATCGGCGTAGCTGTCCATTTGGAGCAGAAAAACATTTTTAGCTCTGGGGATTGAGAGAGGATGAAAACCACCTTTCAGCGTTCACTGTTTACTCTGAAGGGAGGTCAGGTTATGTCCGATTGCATCACACCATATTGATTCGCTGATGCAGCTGCAGCGCAAAATGACTGAGAAGGACTCAGTTAAGGATCAGGAGTCGTCTGGGTGCAGGTGTCTCAATTCCTTTCCTTGCCTCCTCTCCTCGGATCTCTGCCCTCCCTCGCTGATATTAACGGAGGAGGAGGTGAAGGGACGGAAAGGAGAGAGGAGTCAGAGACAGATAACCGGATGAGACACGGCGTCAATGAGATATGACGGTACGGCGCAGCTGCAACATCTGCTCGCCGTCGCACTTCTGCTGCCTGTCACAGGCTTTTCTCTCCTAGAGATGCATTTCGGGGATCGAGACACCCTTAAAGGTGGCTCGCTGAGATGGATTTCCGGGGGGGCACGGCGACGAGAGAGGAGACGAGGAGGCTCCAAACGCACCGGATAAGTTGGTTATTTCGCCGTCCTGCCGCGTGGGTGTCGATCGTACGAGATTATTCGATAGAAACAGCAGCGCACTTCATTCAGAATCAGTCAATCGACGTCTTGTGTCAGCACTAACGAACCCGCGCTGTGTGTGACGTGTGCGCTGGCTTAGGATGGTCCCTCATGACAGGAGCATTTGACTCCATTTTCTCCAGCTCTCTCTCCGTCTAGATGGACGATCCAAACCGGGGAAACATTGTTTTACGGCTCCTCGAGCCGCCAGCAGCAAAAGAAATAGATAAAAGGAAATGAGCCGGAGAGAACGGCGAGTATATAAACAGCCCACTTCAACCCTTAGAAGATGGTCTGTGTTGCGTGACTTCAAATATCAGCTCACTTAAGCCCAAAGCCTGTAATTATATGTCAGTGTAGTGAACATAAATGAATGTAACCAGTTCTGTTCACATTGTTAAAGAATCCCCGGGTCGTACTGTAGTAACCACTGTCTACCTACACTCCTGGGACCCCTCGGCTTCCCTTTTAGTACTTATGTAAGACTACGGTCGTCTCAGCGCTCATTCTTCCATCCGCAGACCTCGGAAAACATGAAATATGCAGCATCCGGAGATCCAAATCTCGTCTCTGTCACCCCTCTGCTTCCTCTCCGTATCTCATCTGTTCCGCTCCGGTTCCCGCTGAGCCGGTCCAGTAGAGTCACACGGGACCTATCATCGGCTTAAATGAGCCAATTTGGTTGAGATAAGACTCCTGCGAAGCATCACGGAGGAGTGAACCGGAGGAAAAAGCATTCGGCCAGATTAGGAAAAGTGGAAGACAGACTAGACGGAAAAAGTCAGAGCTTGAATGAGTGTTGAATGACGCTGTGGGACTACGGCAGCGTATTTAATCTGCCGTACAATCTATAAATAGACTCCGCTGTATGTACCATAGAATACTTTTGTGTGGTAGATGTACATTTTCTCAAGGGAAACTGGCAGAAATTGAATCATCTTCCAAAAGACATTCAGAGGAAGATAAACAACCTCCTCGACACCAGAGCCCATCAGTCTGCTTTATTGTTCCGACCAATAAACGGCCCTGATGGAGCCTCCATTTCTCACACGCCAACACAGTGACTTTGAATGAACTCTTACATTAAAATGCGCGTTTATAATTCCATTCACTCGTCAAATTCAGGCAACGGGCCGTGGGTTCTGTGTGTGCATTGAAAGTAACGTCATACGCAGCCCCGGTTCTGCACACACACACACACACACGACGCTACTGCAGACAATCAGCAACCGTATCAGGAGGGAGGCAGCGAGGGCGAGGAGGGGGCTCCAATTGTCCTTCTCCAAATCGAATGCCCTGCGGAAAAAAATAAGTATTTCACCGGCCGTTTCAACGCCTTGGTTCGAATCGTTCCCCCACGAGGCAGCGACTCTTTTACCACGCGGCCTCCGACCGGCAGGGGGGTCACGTGGTGAGCGGCTCAGCCAGAAGGAGTTAAAAAACAAATATCCATTTATTGGGTCCGCTATGACAATCCGAAAAGGTCACGCAACTATTGCAGAGTGCGAGGGAACGTAGTCGGCAAGCGAGCAGAGAGCTGAAAGTAGCGATAACGGAGGTCGGAAAAAGATAAAAGTATGATGTAAAAGTGGGAGTAATACAACCGCAAACTGATTGTATAAAAACTATATTGACCCTTTCACTTTAGTTTCCATATTTCAGAAAGATCTTCATCCATGCACACATTTGGCATGTGGTAGTGTTGGCTGGTGTGAGGTAACCAGGTGGGGAAATAAAATACTTGCAAGGCCCAAACATTCACTAAGCTTCATCTCAACCTTTATAACGGCCTCCACTCTGCTGCTCGAGGCAGGTTTGGGTTTGAGGTGATGTCGCCATGGAGCGCAGCGCACGGCGAGATGAGAAGGTGAGTGTGGGCGGAGTAATGGACGACGCTTAACAGGCCCGACGGAACAAAGCACTCAGAGGACCACACAGGCACATCAGCACACATTTCATTACTGACACGTAAATCTGTCACATTGTGAGGCTAAGTGGCACCTCGGGTGCCAATAAGTGCTCTTGTGTAATTGCGTTGACTTCAGTGCTGGTTTTGTCGTCACTTTTGAGACGGAATGCCGCTGCCGTGGCTCTCGACAAGCAGGCTGGAATCCGTGAGGCAGAAGAAAACCTCACCAGCGCAACTTCAATTCCGATATCACGAGAAAAAAAAAAAGAAAAGTGAATTATTAAAGATTATTTTTGTACAACAATGGCAGCCAAAAGACGAGCAACATCTAAAAATCTAGATCCAGATCACAACGTTTTACTTTAATTGGATGGGAAACCAAAACCCGCTTATGCCTCAGTCATTGCAGACAAGATGCGAGCTACACAGGTTACGGGTTTAATTACTTAAGTACAAAAAAAAAAGAATTAGAAGATGCTCAATTCAGCAGGTTAGTGGATTTCTGTTTTGCTGTTATTCATTCCAGCACCCAGAGAGACAAACATCTGGGCTTCCCACAGTTAAATGAGCAGGATCAACTAACATATTCAGATTTAAAACGTGAACATAGGAAACACTTTCCTGAATGTTCCAGAGTAAAAGAGAAATAAACCACCGGTGTATTACTTACTTTGCCCGTCCGCTGTTGCACTAAATGAACTGAATTCAGGTGAACAACCTTGTTTTAAATCATTTTTTGCTGCAAAGATGTTTCCCCGAGCAGGAATGTAAAGCTGCGGCTGCTGATGCAATTTCAGATAATAAAGTGCTGCTACATTTTAATTTATTCAATAAGAATCTTTTTTCAATGCAAAAAATGTATTGTAGCGTAGAATACGGTGAAGGCAGAAGTCGGCTCTGTTGGTTTGATTTTAGGTAAAAAGGTTTGTTACATTGCAAATATGTCTATAGGGGGAAATGTAGCACAACATGTTAGTGACAGACGTGTAAATGTGAACGTGCAATAAAAATATATACATGTCCATTATTATCGTGATAAATGATCATGATCTCAATATTGATCGAAAATGGGGTAATTAGCATCCGTGTGTAGTGATACACTAAAGTTCTCTGCTCTGTAAACCAGGGTGGAAACACCCATGAAGGTTTTACTCCCCATCCATCTCTTTTTTGTCACTTTCCAGCCATCGACCTTCTGATCCTGCACCCAAAATCAATCACGGACAAAATATCGCCACCATAAAATGCAAAGCAACTGTGACGTCTATTCCCCAACAGAAAGACAGTTACGCAATCGCAGTTGTAATGTACATTATTTACATTATGCGATGCATGCAGGCGTCGCGTTGAAGGATCGCCGGGTCATCGTCGAACCGCAGTCCGTGACAGTCGGGATGGAGATGAAAGCCGAAGTGGAAACACGGAGGAGAGAAGTGAGCAGAGTCACGCAGGGATCGATCACAGGCCGACCCCCCCCCCCCGCCCCACCACCCCCATTCTGCCCCGCGCTTATATCATTACAACCTCATTTAGGTAACCAAAGACACACATGCACGCGCGCTCACAGGGAGGCTGTGCGCGCGTGGATGCAAAACAATAATAATAATAATGATAATAATAATAATAATAATAATAATAACAATAATAACCTCAAGGATGACGAGATTATGAGACCCGATGTCCATTTGAGTTAGAGAGCAAATCGATCAGCCGGGACTGCACCACGACCGCGGGTGGTTTGGGGGTTTTGGGGGGGTGGGTGGTTAGGGGGGTTTGGGGGGTTCGGGGGGGGGTGAGATCTGAAGCTCATCAGGTCATCGGCGTAAGTGAGCGAGAAAGACACAATGAAGCAGCGGAACGGGAAAAGAAACGCCAGAAGATCCACGTGCGCGGTCACTTTGCGCTCAGACCTCTTGTGTCAAAGTGTCCCACGGCACCAAGTGGAGTGCACGCGAGTGCGTGTGCGTGTGCGTGTGTGTGTGTGTTCGTGTGTCAAGTTTGCTCACCCAGGACTAGAACTTGCCCGGCACTCCTCTCACATCTGCACGCCCGGAGGTGCTTTGCTTTGGGTCCGTGCGGGATAATGTTGCTCCTCCCGGCACCGAGCTACCTCCTCCTCCTCCTCCTCCTCCTCCTCCAGCGGCAGCAGCTGGACCGGATTGGATTCGCTCACCTTCCCCGCTCCGTCGCCTCTTCTCCTGCAGCCGAAGGATCTCCGGCCCCCCGGGTGGAAGTGTCCGGCTCCCCTCTGCTGTGCGCCGGGTAGGAGCTCCTCTCACAGCGGGCTCCCGGCTCTGCGTCCCGCGGACACGTCGAGGTCTGCCACCGGCAGCCGGCTCCGACTGACGGTGCTCTGCTTATGGGATTGCACGTGTGTGAGTGTCCTGGCATTTGTGTGTGTGTGTGTGTGTGTGTGTGTGGGCGGGAGGGATGTGGCGCGCAGTGTGTGCGTGTGTTTGTGTGTGTGTGTGTTGGTTTGAAAGAAGACCCGACTGCTGTGCATAAAGGCTCATCTGCGCTGTTGCTGCTCGCTCTCTCTCTCCCCCTCTCTCTCTCCCTCTCTCCCTCTCTCCCTCGCTCTCTCTCTCTCTCTCTGACTCTGTTTTGTGCTGCATTCACGTCCTGTGGGGGGAAAACGGAAGACGAGTTCCCTACTTGAGAACTCAGCTCACTGAAGCCTTCAGGTGGTGGGTTGATTACACTCGGCAGCGAGATTCCATATGGGACCAAGTTGTTTTTCTATATTCTCAAATAAACGCACGGAAATGTTGAACAATATGTTTTTATATTAATGAGATACGCTTGGCAAGCAGAAATGTGTAAAGTTGGTTATTAACCCAATCTTTCCCTTCACCCACAGATCAAATGATCGTTAACACTTGATTAATGGCTAATTGGCCAGCCGGTTGGTTTAATCCAATATTTTTATTATCATTCAGAAAAGTGCTAAATACTTACAACCAGTAACAAGTTGTGTTCCAGCAAACAGTTAATTCAACTCTGTTTTGTCTCAACATCTTCCTGAGGGAGATATCTGGCTATTCAGCTGCTAAAGGCCGCCGGCTAGTCATCAGCGTCAAGTCACAAACACCTTGTTTTTAGAATTGTTTTCCACCGTTGCCTGAGAGGGAACTCAAACAGGAGAGTCCATAAGAGCAAAAACAATGAGAGCAAACACACTTTCTCCAGTTCTCTCCACAAAGCCTTTACACGACAGCGAGATATCAACATATGGACCTAATGAAATACATCGCATTGGATTCATTCTGTGGACTGCTTTTCAATCTACACATTTCAGACCACCAGCTCGACAGCGACCCCTGACACACTGAAACTGGATAGATGGTGGCGGCGAGCCGCGCCAGGTGGTGGGAACCGTTATAGGCCGCTGACGGGTGGATTGTATTTCGTAGATCTCCCTACATGGGACCGAGGCCCAAACTATTTGCGATGCAATTTCAGACTAAATGACTTGGGAGAAGTTCTTAACCTCCACGTGGCGAGGACGACAGATGGAATAGCAGAAACGCCTCGCAGAGGTGAATTGTGTTTGGTGTGGGAACGCTCCTTTGTTTTCTTTGAGCAATCACAGTGACGACGCTGATAAATAAAACAGGAAGTGATGTCTCTGCAGTTTTCGCTCGATCGTTAATTAAATAAAACCGCGGGGGTGTGGGGGGCTCTCTGTTTGAGGCCGAGACAAAACGGATTCAAAGGGAGACGGAGCGCTTCGCAAAGCCGACGACGACCTCGAAGGTTCAACACTGACCTCCGGGTTGTTAGCGGTCGCTGCACAGAAGAAAAAAAAGCATAATGCTGTTTGAATCGAGGACATTAAATACACCAATAGTCGATAAGATCACGTTACATGCATCATTTTTAAAGGGATACAAGTCTCTTCAATAAAGACTCTTAAGTGGACTCAGATGGCGACAAGGATTGGGAGACTCGCACTCCTTCAGGCCTCCTCACACATCTTTTACATTTCATTGCTGCTTCTGTTTTTTTTCCCGACAGCATAAATCGGCGCCGGAGGCAGAGCAGCAGTGTCATATCCAGGTGAAAATGGAGGCTGTGCCGTGCTCGGTCCCATCTGCAGTCTGCGTTGTTGTCTTCAAAAGACACAGTGGATCAGCTCTGTGCTGCAGTCTCTGTGCACATGTGTGTGTGTGTGTGTGTGTGTGTGTGTGTGTGTGCGCGGTGGCACTAAATCAGAGATGATACACAGATCACAGCCGGTTATTGCATTTCCAAACCCAAAAGGCTGCGCGCCGCGAAAGCCTGTGGCACTGTAACCTTCACGAATGTCATAAACGCCCCCTCCGCCCCTCCCACCCCCCCAACCATTTCCAGGTTAAGCCTTTGCTGTGAAGTAAATGATGCCACGTTGCTGAGTCGCTGCAGCTTCACAACAACACACAGCGCAGTAATCACTCCGGGTTCCAGCGGGTTCTCGTGCAAGATATTTTCAAGGCTTTCTGCAGAAGTACTAAAGGAGCAGGTTTTTTGCTGAATGCATTATGCATAAGATGAAGTTAATGTACCTGCCTGCGCAGGTTGAAAAGGGCGTTCATCAGCGGTGGGGCTCCACGGTCATTTTTCAAAATGAAAGTAATGCTTACCCTCGCGTTGTGTGTGCGTGGGCCGGAGGCAGAGGGGTAAAGCATGCCGGAAGAATGCAAGTGCGGCCAATAGGTACAACTGTGTAGTAATGGTGCGTATTATGTGAGATTCATGCGTTTGAGTCCACAGAATTCACAGATATTGTGTTGGACCCCCCCAAAAAAATCAACTGTTGATGAATCATGTTTCACTTCTCGTCCAGCAATATTCATTTAAGCTCAAAACTACTCTGCTAGGTTTACCCATATATTAGTATATCAATGTTGATGTGTTTATTCAGGTGGAAATATGAACTGTCAGCTTGTCAGAAATAAAGTGGTTGCAGTGTGTGTAAAATATCTTCTCATAACAACACGGCCTTGCATGCAGTGTTTGTTTACAGTAAATCACAAAAGCCGCCAGTCGTTACAAGTTGAATATAATCAGCATCACTGTGCGTCTCAGCGGACCTTCATCCACACTGACATTTAACATCGCAGCCTCAAAAATGACCACCAACACTAAAAAGGCGAAAGCCAACATTATGAGCTCATTATACGCTTTTTACTGAAGCATTACTGCTCTAAGCTTGACACATCTAACCAGAACACACTTTGATCAGAGGCCATTAGCAAAGACTCACCGAACCCCTCTGCCTGTTTCGCATCCCTGCGACTCACCCACTCACACACACACTCACACACACACACACACACACACACACACAGAACAACAAGCTGGTGGCCTCAGGCAACGTAGAGCAGCTCAATGCACGCCCACTCCCTCCGAGCGAGACCCACAACAATGAGGAAAGACGCAGACCTCCGTGAATGGAGGACAAAGAGAGGAACACCAGCGGGACCTGCAACACGCCTACTGAGAAAACCTTTCAAAAAGTAATTCTGACAGAATTCGGAGAGCGAGTGGGCGAGTGGGACAGTTTGAGAGTATTTCAGGGAGGAACGGCAGCACATTCCTTTATGAAATGCTGCACTCTCTTAAATTGTGAGCCGAGGGATTTTTATGCTTGATGTTTATTTTTGTAAATAACACAAAACATGCAAGTTTTAGTGTTTCAGGACCCTTAACCCTCCAGTATGCAGAAATATTTCACTTCACCCCTTAAGAATAGGTGGATATAACATTTCCATTGGATGCGGTTCTCCAGTGGACAGAGCTATTTTAAACAACACAATCCTTTTTCACTCAGATATTGTAAGGTCAGAGGTCATTGTAGGCTGCAGCACAATAAAACAATAATTTATTAGCACCCATCAAAGTGCTGCTAACACAACACCCTATTCACATGAAGATACACATACATATTATACACATATTGAGACGTAAATGGGTGAGCATGAGGCATAACGTTGTTGAGCATCCACCTGTGCACCTGCTTTGCATGCACACCCGTGTGTGTGTGTGTGTGTGTGTGTGTGTGTGTGTGTGTGTGTGTGTGTGTGTGTGTGTGTGTGTGTGTGTGTGTGTGCGGAGGTGTCCTGCAGCCTAACAGCGAGTGCCGCGCTCAGCCCATCTGGCCTTTAGCTGCTGCTGGACCGGCCGGCCCGCTGCAGCTGTGAACCAATGACGACTAGAGCCATCACACAATTCTCCCGAGTGTGCACGAGTCTGTGTGTGTGTGCGTGCGTGTGTGTGTGAGTAACAGTGTTAGATCTTCACTGCCGCCGTGAAAAAGACTGCGTGAGTGATGATCGCCGCTCAGCTCGTTTCCCGGCTCCGGCCTCCCTGCGGCTGCGGCGAGCTCACGTGTGCTTCACCAGCGGCGCATTCGTCCCACCGCGAATATGAACGAGTAAACACGTTCTGTACGAACAGAAACCAAAACCAAATCAGACAGGAACAGTCGTTCACGCACCAGCTACCAAAAGGAGACAATCCAATATGGCGGCTCTGCTTATTTCATGTAGTTCCAGACAGTGACTCAATGTCTCCTCCATTACACGTCTCTAATCTCTCTGCAGGATTAAATGTGTGAACAGTTTTTCGCTTTGTGTCGACTGGAAGGTAAGGACTCTCATGCCGTCGCCAGGCAGCGGCGGGATGAGTAATATGCTGGTGCTCCTGTGTTTGCGTGACATATTATCGCGCGCGTAGGCCGGACGGTCCCGCCGCCGCCGGCTCGGACAAAGGTCGGTGACTCAGCGAAGCTCCGCCGAAGCAGGGAGAAATAAACCAGAGTGATACCGAGCAGGCGAGCGACTGGATTAGCTGTGACTCTTGGTGGAGAGGAGAGGGAGAGGGGGAGGGAGGGAGAGGGGGAGGATGGAGGTCCACAGGGGGGGGGGCAAAGACCCAAAGGGAGAGCAGAGATGTGTGAGCAGAGAGTTTGGAGGACGAGGCAAAGGCGGGACGTCTGCTTCTCGCCCCGAGGGCTGATCCGCGGGGAGCGAGGGAAGGATGAAGCGACTGTGGGGAGGGAGAGACCAAAGGGGGAGGCTGGCAGCCCCCCCACTGGGACCCAGCGAGGAGGAAGAGAGGAAACGGCTCCGAGGAACTCTGGGGACTAAAGGCACACTGAATTTATTCGGCGAGCAAATTTGCCCGAGTAAATACAGAAGCCGCGTGCGCGCGCACACACACACACACACACACACACGGTTGCACACGTTCACCCTCGCACACCAGTGGAAGCCGACTGCAGCGGCTTCTGACCTCCCGCGTTGTGTCGGGCTGCTTCGCCACACGGACAGAGCAAGAAGAAGCACGCGGCTTCCACGGCGATGATTAATGAGCACGCCGTCCCACAGGCGCCCCGGGGAGATTAAACCCTCTGGCGGCGCTTTACATGCAAAGAGGTAAATAAACAGTTGGTGGTCACAGGGAAAAATATTATATAATGCTAATTACTTTTGTTGTTGAAGCGTACTGTACGACAACGAGTCCA